GGAGCGGGGGAGGGTTGGGAGTTCTGAGGGGGGCGGGAAGTGGGAGGGGCAGGGGCGGGGCTAGGGCGGGGCTCCTCCCGTCCTCTTTTTTGCTTGCTGAAATATGGTAACCCTAAGCTAGGGGATGTTGCACAGCTGAAAACGGGAAGCTTAATGACTTCTCTGACTTTTTGTAGTACATTTTGTTCATGCGTCTCAGCCTTTCCTTCTTTTCTGTGTATGATCATTAACTTTTTTCAGTTATTCTCTCTTATTTACTTCCTTTCAAACAGCTGAGCTGCAGACCAGAGTCTAGCTGGAGTAAGCAAACTGCATCTCCACACTAGAAGTAGGTTAGCAGCTAGCAAGGGATCACATTATTTCATTTAATATCCACACCATAACCTATCTATTATACAGCTAAAGATGTCTGAGACTTAACATAGTTCCTAAATAGGCTCTTTATTAATCAGAGAGTAGGTGTTCGGGACTTGAACGTGAGATAACATTCATATTCTTGGTGAAAGAGACGTCTTTAGTGATCATAGCTACAGCAATATGATTATTCTGCCAAGATTGCACTCACATGCATGACAGGACTTCTTAAAATTAATTCATAGCATAAACTTTGCATTATCTTTGAGGCATAAAATTTGAAATCAGATCTACAAAGAAAAACAAAACCATTAATAAAGAAATATGGTGACAACTGGGTGCGAGCTTAGGTATAAAAACAGATATTTATACCTGTAAAGACAGCTATGCAGGAGCCTAGCAGGTAGCAAACCTTGTTAAGTAGCAATGATATTTGAAAGGTAATTATGCTACATAGGGACCTCAGATTGTGCCTCTTTATTCCTCCCGGACCACCTCTACCTCACCCCAGCAATTGCTGTGCCCCATCCAGTTCTGTGGACACATCCTCAATCTTCTCCTCTCATCCACCTCTTTATCCACGATGTCTATATTCAGCAAATGCCAGTGAGTCAAAATCCAAGATGTACCCACCACCAGTCTCCCTCTCTATCCTGGGAGAGGAAGGCGATGGTCCTGGTTTTGCCTCTTTGTGCCTCAGTTCCCCACCTGTAAAATTTGGATAACAACGCTTCTGGCACAGGGGCAATCTGAGGATAAATTCATTTAAAATTCTGAGGCGCTTAGACACTATAGTGCTGGGGGCCATATAAGAACCTAGAAAAATGTATCTCCCATACTCCATTCATGTTCTTATCACTCACACCCTCATCCTTTTCCTTTGGTGCCCTTTGGGATCCCATCCTTTCAGTAGAAAAGTATTGTGAGCCTTGATTGTATTCCCTCTCACTTTATCTCCTCCTGACACCCAGTTCAGTGTCACAGCAAGAGACAGCCATCCATTGTCCTTTGGTACTTTTCCCTGGTGGTCTCAAGATTGCCACTATTCCTACCCTTTCTGAAGATTCCTCCTTATTTGTGTCCATCCCCACCTTCTCTCCATCTGATCTCCAATCTTCTCTTTCTTAGCAAAATCCTGGAAATCCAATTTTTTTTTCTGAGCGCTCTAATTTGCTTTTCCAAAAGCAATGCCCTGGATCTGCGGTGCTCAAGCTTTTCCACACTGAAACCAGGACCTCTCTCCCATCTAGCTGGGATCAAGAACTGCTGCCATTTAGCAATATGTGAAGGGCAGAGCGGTCGCAACCTACTGAAACTTGTTTGTATCCCCCAGGTTGACAGTCTCTATCCTTGGTAGTTTCCACTCTGGCTTCCAGCTGCTTCACAGTTCTTAAACTGTCCTTCTGCTCAAAGATCTTCTCAGGTCTAGCCCTTGTTCCTTTTCTCTTCTAATCCTTCCTGACTGCAGTACAGAATTTGACACCATCTATCTTGACATCCCTATTAATTGATTGGCAGAGTTAGCAATAGCCTTGGACAACTTGCTTCCTGCTCTCAATCTGCTATCCAACTGCTCCTCTCTTGCAACTGGCAATGGTTACTTCTCTGCCATTAAACCTTAGGGGTTTGTCCTAGGCCGGCTTCTCTCCTCTTGTTTATCTTATCCCCCTTGGCGCCTATTCTGAAATCAACCTTCGTTGTCCTTTCTGGGGAAACGATACCTAAATATAGCCCTTTACTTTAAATCCTTTCCTCACAGATTATTAGCATAACTATGAAACTTAGTTCAGCTTAATATATCTAAACCTGTATCCTCCCTATCTGATCAGGCCAGCACCCTCAATCAAAACTCAACCATCTCTCCCATCCCTCGTTTACCATCTTCTTCCAAGAATCTGGACATTTGATTTGACACTGTTCACTATTTTTTCTTTCATATTCCTTGATCCATAAATTCATTGGCTTTAAAACAATGCCATTACTTTCTATATCTGGACCACTCCTTTCCCAAAACTAGTGCAGATAACTTCATCCTCTTTAACCATCAATACCAAGGTATAGTCTATATCTATATTATCTAGATGTATTGGGACAGATTCTGATTGCAATCACACAGGTGTAAATCCAAGTCACTCAACTAATTTCAGTCTTAACTTCACCTTACCGGTGTAATTAATATCAGTGCTTGGCACTTTCAGTAGAAGAAAAGATACAACTTGAATAGCAATTACAGTAAAGACCAGACACAAATATTGCAGGGACTTAGTAAATATGATTAATCAAATGTCAGACCTGCTGATCTGGGTGTTCATTATTTAAAGTCCACCAAGTCCCCTTCTCTATTAGCTGGTATTACCTCATCGAAGTCTGCAATGATTTCATTCAGCAAACGGAGACATTCCACTCCTTGGTTATTCATTTCAGTTTGAGAATAAAAATCAGCAAACCCGGGGATGGAAGCAAACATCACGCCAACAGCATCATAGGACTGAGAGTATAACTCCTAAGGGAACAATAGGGAAGAAAAACAAGTTGGAGTGGAAATGTATCCCATAGGTGGCAAAGGGCTGCGGAAATTCATTGTCTGCACTTCACAACTCCTGTCTCTATCTTTTTAAGAACAGCTTGACATTTGTTTAATGAACAGCTCTGCACATGGCATTTCATAGGTATTATTGAGTTCCCTGGGAGGAGGTTGCCAAGAAGATTGCCAACACTTGTAATTTTAGCATGAGGCTCTTGCAATATTTGGTGCTTTTCTTAAAGCCCCATCAGCTTGAGTCATGTGATTATGTAAGAATTTCAGCTTTCATTTAAAAGAAACACATTTTCAGCCCTCATGGTTGTGAAGAAGCGTTGGAAATGTGTATCTGCAAGGCTCAAACACCAGAAAGCAAATAAAAAGAACCTTACATTAATTATTGTGAAAATTTCATGATTTTTGAGCCACTCTCAAATTTTTTTGAAAGCTTGGGATTGGCAATAGTGCTGTTGTCTAATGGTAAGAACTGGGTTCTTGAGTTCTGTTCTTGACTTTTCTACTGACTCACTCTTTAGTCATCAGCACATCTCTTCTCTCTGTGCAGCAATTTACCCAACAATAAAAATGGGAACAATCACCACCACCCAGGGGCGCTGTGAGTCTTAATTTTTTCAAATTTGTAAAGCACTTCAAGTTCTTTGGAACACAGCTGACTTTCTTAACCCAGCCCCTCCTCCATCTGTGATGGAGGTGCTTCTGCAGGGACAGGGGAACCATACCACAGAGGTCAAACTCCCCCTGTCACAGCTGCAGTACTCAGAGTGGAGCCTGGGGCCCTAATTATGGGAGAAGAGACAGTGTGAGAATGAATGAGTGTGTGTATATATATATATATACATACACATATGTGCTATCTCCCCAAGTGCTGTCTATAAAACCATTCAGCTGAGCCTTCCCTTGCTCAGTTGTTCTATTTTTGGTAGGAAGCATCAAGATAGAAATAATAAGTCCATGAGAAAGTGCTTACAGTACACATCTGGGGAGTCATTTTTTGAGAGCAGGAGAATTAAGTTAATAGCCAGACATGAATTACAAGATTGATTGTACAGTAATCTTCCAGATGTTAATGCCAGCCAGCTCATTCATAAATCCTCCCCAGGTATAATCGCTCCAGGAAATTGCCTTGCAAAAAAGCAGAGGTGGCAGCTGAAATACAACTGCAAGTGTATTGAATGCATCAGCATTGACCTACCAGGCATCTGGTTTCAAGGCTTCTTTTGAAAATTATTTTAGCACTGAATATGAATGTGTGTGGATGTATATTATATCTCAATGGTTCAGTAGGATGGAGCATGTACTTTCCCAGCAGCCATAGTATATTCATGACAGAAGATGGCAGGGCCCAGAACTGGAGTTTATTTCACACTAAAAAAAGTGCTTTGCTTTTGCTCTCTTTCTGACATATGCATACACACTTTCAATTGTGCAGAATAACATTGTGTTTTTTTAGCAATTTAATTCTTGCAGAATAGGAAATTCTCCAAGAGGTTAAACGCTTAAGTGCTGGGACATGTAACCTTTGAAGATGATGTCATCTTTTCCTAGTTGATACTTTAAAGCATAACTTTTAGAAAAAACGATGGCTTGTCCTGTCAGACCTATTTTGGCTAGTTACATCTATTTTCAAAAAAGTACTGTCTGACAAGTGGGATTCTGAACCCATTTAATTGTACTGCAAATAGCTTATTGCTGGTATCTTGATTCTAGAACTATTTGTGAACTATTGGTTCATGATGCACAGTTCAAAGGTCATGTATATCTCCAATCCCAAGCCTGATTTCCATTGTATTTTAGAACAATGGTTCTCAAAGCTGGTCTGCTGCTTGTTCAGGGAAAGCCCCTCGTGGGCCGGGCCAGTTTGTTTACCTGCTGCATCCGCAGGTTCACCCGATCGCAGCTCTCACTGGCCGCGGTTCGCCGCTGCAGGCCAATGGGGGCTGCGGGAAGCGTCACGGGCCAAGGGATGTGCTGGCCGCCCTTCCTACAACCCCCATTGGCCTGGAGCAGCAAACCGTGGCCAGTGGGAGCCGCAATCGGCCGAAACTGCGGACGCGGCAGGTAAACAAACCGGCCCGGCCCACCAGGGGCTTTCCCTGAACAAGTGGCGGACTGGCTTTGAGAACCACTGTTTTAGAACACACTCAAGGCTTGTCTACACTTACTGGAGGATTGACACTGCGACGATCGATGCATTGACGGTTGATTTAGCGTGTCTAGTGAAGACCCGCTAAATCGACCGCTGATCACTGTCCTGTCGACGCCTGTACTCCGCCTGATTGAGAAGAGTAAGGGAGTCGATGGGAGACACTCTCCCGTTGACATCGCATATTATGGACCCCGTGGTAAGTAGATCTAAGCTATGTTGATTTGAGTTACGCTATTCATGTCACTCAAATTGCATCGCGTAGATCGACTTTTCCCTTTAGTTAGATAAGGGCTCAGCTTTGCCCCTACTAATGTTATTGTGAGAATTTGACTTATTTCTGGTCACTCTCCTTTCAGACACGCTTTCTCCCTTTTCTTTTTTTCTCAGATTTCCTTCATCCCTTGAGTAAACCCCTCTGAGATCTCCATCAAGGATCTCCAAAGCCTCCACTACCAGCAGCTGTTATTGTCTGTTTTCTCTGTCTCAGGGGCCTGTCCAGTGTAGCTCTGTATTCATTCTGATTCTTATCATATGCTTATTAAGTTTGCCGAGGCCCATTAGGATACATTCTTTAATTACATGGTCTCTATTGGTTCTAAAAAAACCCACCTGTTTCATTCAGTGCACAGGATGGATAGTAAATGAGGCAAACAGTGGTAAGAAGAGAAAGGATGTTCTCTTGGATTTAAGGGACTGGACTGACACCCAGGAAAGCTGGGTTCTGTTCCTGGCTCTGCCACAAACATCTTGTGTGATGTTGAACATGATTAATTATACATATGCATGAGCAGAGTGTATTAAGGTTGCACAGGTATTAGTTAATTCTGGCATTTCCTATCTTTTGAGGGCTTTGCAACATTAATGTTCTTTTAACATTATTTTCTGCATGGAATAAATAACGTCACACAGAGGCAACAGCTTTAACATTCTCGCAGCATCCTAAAGGACACTATTTTTCTTTTGCCTGTTAGGAAAAAAGTATGAGAAACAAACGGATACGTACTTCGTTATCTCGATCCTTCTCCAGGAAGTGACGGGCAACATGACTTGGCAGAATATTTCGTAGCATATTTTCATTGTGTTCCCTTAATTCCTTCATTTCATTGATTTCTTCTTTCGCTTGAACACGCCACAGAAAGTCCAGGCGGGCTGTGTATTCAAGCTATAGTTATGAGGAAAGGCAAACATTAAGTCTGATGAGATAAACGCAGACATGGGATTGTAAACATGGAAGTCTGTCACTACTACCTAAATTTCTTCAATGCTATAGACACCAGAACTATGACTCCTAAGTAATTTTCTTTCTCCTATGAACAAATACCAGCATTTTGTCATGTATAGTGAGAATTGCAAAGGAATCAAGGGCCCAATAACATTAGTCATATTGCTATTTTATATTCAGTGGTTGGAACATTTCAATAAGTTATTTCCCCCTAGAACACATCTGCATTACTTAAAGAATGATATTATGGAGTCAGAAATGAGATAAAGTAACAGAATAAATAGCTAGGTTAACAACATATTCTTCTAGCTCCTAAATCAGAAAATATATTCATCTTTTTACGACTGTTTTCAACTGGAATGTACTTCACGAAAAACCAGAGCCAGGGTGAATAAGGATACTCTACAGAGAGGTAATTTACCTCTCAAGGACAAGCACTCTTCTCTCATTGAAAAGAAGTATGAAAAGCCCAACGTGCTTCAAGAAGGACTTTCAAGTCTGAAACGGCTGAAGTGAGCTGTTTCTGCTGCTAGGGCAAATAGACATTTGCTTTTGGTTTTATATATGATAGTGGAAGCATATCGATTGTCTTGTAGATACATAATATTTCCATTTAGTAATGAACCAATACCATTGTTAGGACTCTTTTTCTTCCTAATATGTTTTTAAAAATCCTTCTTATTGTTCTTAAATGGATCCCTTTTGCTTCTCTTATCAATTTTCTATAAGTTCTTCCTTCTGATTTATACTCACTACTATCAACTTCCATTTTTTTCCATTGGTTTTATTTAATTTATTTATTTATCTATTTTTATAGCTCTAAACCAGGTTGTTATTTTAACCAATACAGCCTTCTTCCTCGATTGTCAGATTGTGCTTTTGGGGACATCTAACGAAGTTTTCTTAAACAATTCCCAATTATTATTTACATTTTTACCAATTAAATTCTTCCTGCCAGCTGACTTGGCTCATAATTGTTTTCAGCTTTGTGAAATTGACCCTTTTAAAGCATCATATGTATATAAAACTGTTGTGGACTTTATGCTATTTGCATGTTATAAACATGATCTAGTCATAATCACTTGTATCTAAACTACTCCAAGCCCAATCCAGCACATCAGTGATTAGCCTTTATATCCAGGCCAAAATCCAATCTGGATAATTTAATTTTCGCTATTTAAAATTCCCTCTTATTTCAGCTGGAATAATTTTTCTATGCCTCCCTACCACAAAATGTCTGCTCTGTTCTACCCCAGAGTTGACTGTATGTAGGTTTGTGCGAGAGAGTGGTCTGTATATACAGGGTTATTAAATATCTAAAATGTAAGGTTATTTTTGTCTGTGAACAAATGGAATGGCCCCACTGTGGTGTTAATGGGAAAGGATTGTTCCAAGGACTGCATCACTGCCAATCAGTTTTTTTGGTGTTGCCATGTGATTACTAGAAATGTGGCTACCTTCATTAGTGAGTAAAGAAAATAGACCGTTGCATGGGAAGCCCAAAAGCCCCAAACCCTAGGAGTAGAGATACCCTCCAGCCTCTATGCATATATAATCACCATGCATGGTGGAAGCACAAGGTGCTAAGGGGTTCAACTCTCTGTTTTCTCAGTATTTCTAGTTTAGTTTATTTTAGTGTAGTAAGGACAACTCTTGAGGATGCTTCCCCTAAGAGCAAATAATCACATGCTGGACTAAAGAGATTCCAAGGACAGAGTGCTTGCAAATGTGCTTTCTCCCCTCTCACGACACTTGCAAGACCTTCCACTTCCCACTCAGTTCAGTGGAAAGACTCAATGGGAGATGGATCAGTCTCCAGAAGGGTTAGCCTGTACTCCAATGACAAGAGAGAGTTTTAACATTACATTGAATTTCAAAGCTTCCCTCAATTTTCCTTCTTCTCTCTTTCCCCTAAGATTCTTTTCCATTCCCCAAATTCTCTCCTGCTTTCACCTTTCCTCCCATGGAGCCCCTATCCACATGCAGAGTTATTCAGATGCTGAAGGGTCTGAGGATAGATGCTGGATTCTCCTCCATCTGCACTGATGAATCTCAAGCAGGTGGAGAGGAAGAGCTTCTAAAATAAATATAACTAAATTACAAGAAGCTCTTTACTGCAAGTATGTGGACTTAATCTCCCTTGGGATTAATTCAGTGGAGAGGAGTAGTGCCAATGGAGTAACAAGGTAGAGATGGTGAGAAGCTGAGATAATCATGTTTATTTTGTGGTTGAGAAATAGCTACTTAGGCAAATCAGTCCTACCAGCCAGAATGCAGAGCTCTGCAGAACTGAAATATTATCCCAGTGTTGTGGGTCATAAATGTATAGCTTTCCAGCACCCTGACTAGTGAAAATCCTTTCTTTTCAGTGTATTTCATAGCACCTTAAAGTGCCACATGTTGTGTTAAAAGATAAGCATGCTGCGCTCTGGTCACATTTTGCACTCTGGCCATATTGCAGTGTACTTTAAGGGAGAATCAATTATTGGCTTAGTTACTTCTCTCTCTCTCTCTCTCTCTATCTATATATTTATATATGGAAGGCTCAACGTACTCAGGAAAAGCTACCTGGAAAGATAGGGTAAAATTAATCCACTGACAGTAAGGAATAAATCTGGCCTAAAGCAACCATCTCTGCACTAAAACAAGCAGGGAGAGTAATTGGCTCCAGTTTGATAAGGACTCTTATAGGCCTATCTGGGGTGGAGAAACAGGGGGCCTTGATTCAGCTGTGGCTTGTTTGGTCCCTGGCTGCAGTTATTAAAGCCTCCCTTAAGCTGCTTAGGCAGAGTGTTAGAGGTAAAGTTAGGTCTAATAGATGCTTTAGCTGCTATCCAGAGAGCTAGGGCCCCAGAAGCATTTCCCCGTATGGATTTTGTCTAGAAACATTTTTCTCTTGTAGGGGAACTTGTATGTGATGTTCTATTTTTGATGTGTTTTTAAGGTATGTTCTATAAATAAATAGTTCTATGTAATTTGGGCTATGTGATTTTTGAATGAAATAAATACTTCAATATAGAATAGCCACAAGACTGGGATTGCCTGAAGTGTCAGAACAGTTTTCCTATACAACATGTCATTTCAAAATATTGCTGTGAGTCAAATGCTTTTAGAATATAATTTTCAGGCTAAGAATGCTTGTTTTCATGTTAAATTAGGTTCCTGGTATGGAAATATTTGATTTATGTTGATACCATATATTGCTAAGGGAACTATTTTTAATTAGGGGTTTAGCATGACTGATTTTTCCAGACTTATTGGCTGCTCCAGCGATGGATTCTTCAGGAAATTCTCTCACCGTGACTAGACAGCCTTGCTCTGTCTCGATTGTATCTAGAAAAAGCAACTTAAAAGCCTGTGTGTGCAAAATTAGGGATAGACTTGAAATGAAGTTTGTGAAGCTGCATAAAGAATGGCAGACAGCTAACAATTCTGAAATGGAAAACACTCACATTTGTTTTAACACAAATCTCCTGTTTAATAAATCTTCCTAGAACAACATGCCTCAGCCTATTCTACCATAGCTGAGTGAGGAGAGGGATGAGAGACTGTTGGTGGGTAGCTTTAGCCAAAGGCATTATTTTCTCCTGCAGTCTAAACTTATGAACAGCATATGTCCTACAGGATGAAATTCTGCTGTATTTCCTACTCAGTGCTCATATGGAGATTTGCAGAATGCTTACCTTAAAAGTTGCTAATCTGTTTGCTTTATCCCTATCTTTAAAAAACTGGCATCTATTTCAGATGCTGCTGCAATGCAACAGGTTTCATGGAACATAGGATGATACTGGATACAATGGTTTTGGCAGGAACAACCCTAGGCCAAGGAGCACACCGTTATGGTGTCCCCTGGAAGTTGGTGTTCAGGGTGACCTCCCTGCTCGCCCTCCAGTAGAATCAGCCTGGGCAGGTACATTATTAAATGCACAAGTGGCTGCTTTCGTATAGGGCTAAATTCTCAGTGTTCCCAGTCCTTGTGCTTTGTGGTGCATTTCTCAAATCTCCAGCAGGTGGATTCATGTTATTATCTGGAAACTCAGCTTTTATTTAAAAAATAGTAAGTTTCTAGCCTCATGGTTGCAGATAAAAGCTTGAAAACATGAACCTGAAAGGCTCCAAGAGCAGAGGCAAATCAAAAGAACCCAGAATTAACTACTTTTAAAATCTCATAATTTTTAAGCTTATCTCATGATTTTGGAATACATAGCTTGGCAATATGGCTTACTAAAATCCTGATCCTACATCCTTTTTCATTTCCTGAACTTGTTTCCTACATTCATCTTCTCCCTTTGGACATATTAAATCAATCACTTCACAGCATTTCCCCCCGTCCCTAAAATATTCTGAGCCTGGTTCCTTCATCATATCACTCCGGTTTTACACCAATGCATGCTGAAATCAGTGTCTTTGCTGCAACATCATACTGGAGTAGCAGCATGAAGAATCAGACTGTCGTGATTTTTATTTAGCATATTTGAGGATTTTTTGCTTTTTGTTACACTTTAAAGGCTTTTTATTTTATATATAAATACGAGAATCTGTTTTATGTTCTTCTTTGAGGTGCTTTTAATGTTCTGTTTCATCCACTTCTAAGACGTTCTTTCTACTCTACACCATTCAATACTATGTAATTTGAAAAACAAACAAAAAACCCAACACAAAAGCATTTACAATTATTTCAACCCCCTTTCTTGCAAACCCCCATTATCTCCATGTTTCCATAGTGATTTCCTTATTTTTATATATCTATTTCTGGAGAGCTGGGCTCTTTCTTTGACTTTTACATGCTTTCAATATATTGCTGAGGTGAGTGGAAGCTGAAATTAGGAGGCAGCAAGGAACACAAGGTGACACAGTGGCATATTATAAGCAGCATATTATTAAGGTTGCCTGATACTGCCCATTATAAGACCCTGTTTTCAGCTGCTTATAACTTTGCCAAACTATAGCTGTTTTGACTGAAAATTTTCATGCCAGGTGTCTGCATCAGGGTGTTTTGGGTTTTTTTGGAAAATTTCAGCCAGAATCATTTTATCCATTTCTGAGCATGAGGCTAGGGAAAAAGACATTTTGTCAATGTTAAAAAAAATGTGAGCAACCATTTTTGAAAGTTTTAGTGCATGCTTATGTTTGGAGCAGGGTCTTGAAAATTGGCAGGGGGTGGCCTTTGTGTCAGCAGTGTGAATTAGGACAGGGACAGGTTGGACAGGATGGAGCAGAAGGGGTCAAAGCTTGGGGGAAATATGCAGAAGAGTCTGTGTCCATTAGAGAACACTCCCCCCACAGAGCCTGGAATGGAACCCAAGATTCCTAAATCCCACCATTTCTCAGTAAGAATTTATTAAACTACTGGCAAAGTGTGCTTCTCATCCCCTTCTAGAGCAAGTCCCCATAGAGGATGACAACCTACTAATGCTATCAGTTACTCCATTAGCTCAAGTGGCAGAGATCTCTGTGGTGGATCTAAAGGTTCCAGCCCTGCTGATATGCCACATGAGTGTCAATAAGATACCACGTAGTGGAATTTCTGTTTTTTTTTAAACTGGGAAATTACATACAAACAAACTATATTGAAAGAACATTAAGGTTGCAAACTCAAGTACTTTAAAAGTTAGGAAATGCCAACATGAGCATTTCCCATGCAACCTTAATTCGGCCCTCTTGTGTACATACATTATGATACTGTATTTAATTACATGATCACATGCTACTTTTTCTATGAATAAACGTCAAGATCTCCAGAAATATGAAGCGATTTAAAAACATCTAGGACCGTGTTCTGCCCTGATTTACAATGTGCAATCCATTCGCTTGTTGCAATAAGGTGCAAGTCAGGGCCAAATTTACACCTTAGTGTAGTCAGTGAAAGTAACTCTACATTATTGTCCAAATCCTAGTCTGTGTAAGGGCTGGACTGAATCACAGGCCCTGAATTTGTGAGAGCACAAGGGCTGCTGCCAAGTGGTTTGTCCCTAGGAACAACTCCCTGGAAAGAGATTAAGAACATACAGAGCCATGCCTTCCCCATGCTCTCCTCTCCTCCCAGATGGCAGAGGGGAGTATGCTGCATGCCCTAAAGGGCTGCAGCAAATTACCCCTCCCCCCCACCAGCCCAACCAGGGAGCTCCAGGAGGCATTGCATCTTCCTGAAGCAGAATGACTCCAAATGCCACCCTCCCTCCCCGGGAGTGCTGTTCCTTCACATTGCTTGAATGCAGCACTGTGGCTCGATGCCACAAGTTAACCTTGCATGACTTGGGGTGTTCTAAGGGATTGATCATTCAGTAATTACTCAGAAAAAAACTTCAGCTGATGGGGGGAGGGGTAGCTCAGTGGGTTTGAGCATTGGCCTGCTAAAGCCAGGGTTGTGAGTTCAATTCTTGAGGGAGGCCACTTAGAGACCCGGGCAAAAATCAGTACTTGGTACTGCTAGTGAAGGTAGGGGGCTGGACTCAATGACCTCTCAGGGTCCCTTCCAGCTCTATGAGATAGGTATATAACAAGCCAAAGGAGGTTTCTCCCCACTGGTCTAGGACTGCCAAGGGTTAGCTGTTAACATTCCTACTGTATAACCCTGAGGCATTTAGGCTTCATTAGAGACTGACACCACCCTGGATTGGTTTTGCAACAACTTCAATGAGGTTTTACGTTTACAAATCCAGAAGCACAGATGGGTTCAGATCCTGGTCCCACCTTAACCATAACTCTCGATTTCAGAGGCATCCTAGGTAGGAAGTCTGGCCCAGTGGTTAGGGCACTCACCTGGGATGTGGGAGTTCTGCACTCAAGTCCCAGTTACTTGGCCTCTCTACGGCTCCCTTTCCTATCTGTAAATTGAGGCTAACAGCACTTCCCTGTCTCACAGGGGTGTGATGAGGATGAATACATCAAAGATGATGAGACACTTCAATACTATGGCTACGGGAGCCATATAAGTACCCAAGATACACAGATGATTGCACATTTGGCCTCTCTCCATTATGCAGTGCATGCATAGCATTGAATGTACGAGTGGATGCTGCTCTTACGAATCACTAAAACTGCACCGGGTTGGATGTGAGCCTTCTTTAATCAGTCTTTTCTATGGCTTATTTGACATTACATTATTAAAGGTCATATACTCAAGTGGATAAAAATATTTGCTTCAAATGGCAGCTGGTATTTTGAAAGTAATTATTGCTGCATCCTGCAATTCTAGTTTGTAAAGTGAGCAGTTACAGTAAATGTTTGCTTTACCTGTTGACCATGATAAAATACAGCTAAGAGGAACATTGCCATCAGTAGCAAGGATGCCTCCTTTGTGCCCAGGAAATCGGTTCTGGAAAGAAAAAAGCCCAAAGAAAAACATTATTATTGATCGATCAGTGTTTTATTTTAATCAGGGAGGGCTTTAATTTGGTAACCTACGTGCTTTTCTACAGTTTGTTGTGAAAAACCTTGGCATCTAAAAATATAACCAATAATAATTAATTCAACAGCACAAGACCGTAATTAAAATGTTCACTGTCTAATAACCAATGTGTTGAACGATTAAAGCGAGGCCTCCAATAGCAATCAGGAGATGCTAATCCTTCCCTTCCAACCGTGACAGAGAAGCCATGCATCAGTCACTCTCTTTGTGATGGTGATCCCAGTGGCAGCGGTACACAATGAACAGAATTGACATGATTAAATATATCCTTAAATGAGGTATGCACACTGCAGTCATCTCCCAATCCAGGCTTCAGAGCTATGGGCCAGGATGATCTGCAGCACCAAAACCCACTTGGCAATGAAGAAGGGGGTCTATCACAGAGTGTGTTATGGCTTTATGAGTCTCTAGTTTGCCCTGGTCCTGCTGGAGTTTAGAGCAGATGGCCCCAAAGGATCCATTACACAAGCTGGGGCGAGCACAGTACACTCCTGCTGCACCCCTAGAAACATCCTTTGGCTCCCAGCATGCCCTCTGTGCCAGGACCAGGGGACAGTACACAGGGTAGGAACCGGCTATGCAGGCTTTAGGCCAGCTGAGACCTCCTTTCGCTGAAAGAATTCTCAGCTGGCCAGATACAATCAGCATCTTTTTGCTGGTGGAGCAGTGCAAAGGGTCTGGAAGAGTGGAGAGAATCTGACACTATGTCTGGGATTATGACCTACAATCCTAACTTCAGCCGTTACAATATTTTGCATGTGCCTAACACCTTTCATTCAAGGACTTCAAAACATTTTACATACATCGACAAAGCCTCCCAACACCCTTTTGAGGTAGATCAGTATTCTGTCCATTCTACAGCTGGGTAAGGAGAGGCAGAAATAAATTATGTGACTTGCCCTGGGTGTCTGGAAGTCACTTGCAAAGCCTGGAATAGAACCCTGTAGTTTGGACTTTGTCTTCTACTTCTAATGATTCTCCTGACCTGACCTGGTGAAATACTGCAAAAACATTGTTTACTAGATCCGGCTGAGAGAGTGATTTGAGTAGAAGACAAAGTCAGGACTACTGGGTTCTATTCCTGGCTTTGCAAGTGATTTCCAGACATCTGGGGCAAGTCAGATAATTTATTCGTACCTCTCATTTGAATTCCAAGTGGCTGTTTGGTTAGATTATGCTGAGGCCCTTTTTAATCACTATCGATGAATATTCACATAAATAGGCTTTGTTCACCCAAATATCTGGGAAATGTCACAGTTAAAAAGTGAAGAAAGGTATTTGTGTATGAATAAAAGCAGACACCATTAATAATTTCTTATTCTCCTGATGTTTTAAATCCTCCTGTCGAGACTGGAAACAATATCGTTTGACTAAGACGAACAATCAGAAACCATGAATAAAAAATAGCAGGACAGATAAAATGAACAGTTTATGAGCAACCCATAACTTATACAAACACATTTTGCTCTAATTGAGCAATTACAACTAGATTTGCAAAAATCAGCTGTGTTTGGAAATGATTTGTAAATAGAAAAGAGAGCTAAAATTATTGGATATTTTGTTAACAGATAACTTAATCATATCTAGGTACCTGTTGCAATTCTAAAATTACCATAGAATAGACTGACAGGCACTCTTTCTCTTATGTCACAGTGTTATAAAACAATGGTTACATGGTTCAATATAATAGGTTTTTTTTTTAACCTCAACATACTATTCATCAGTTTGGCCCAAAACTCATATTATCAACAAACTGAAGTCATCCCATGAAAATCCATCTGATAATATTTCTTGATGAAAAACTAGTATATTTTTAGTATGTTTAGAATATACTGCCTTTTTGTAAGAGTAAGCATCTCCTTAAATATGCCTTTTAGCAACCACTGCCCTGTAACAATTGGTATCTTCTCACTGTCATTCATGGTGCCTCAAGATTGTCAGGAAAACTGGTTTCTAATAGTAACACTCACTGTTAAGTCCCAATCAACCTGACCTCTTTTTAAAGTATCAGATGATTTATATTAATAATAGCATTTGTACATATTTTTCTACTAGATTTTTTTCCTAACAATCCAAGACTGGCTATGAACAAAGACAATTCTCTAATACATAACAATAAACCAACGGGCACACTGTACATGTCACTGTAGCTGAGAGTAATGTAGGCTGATAAATATCTTTGTAGTGCAAGTAAATCTGTGCTAAATTGATTTGGATATATGACTATTTTCTCTGAAAACACAAAGATATCTGAAGAAAAATTAAAATGTGGAATTCTCTGGATTTGGCCCAGGACTAGTCAAAAATGTGCATCATCGCTGGCAATTCTATCACTTTATGAGAGCTCAAGTGGCACTTAGGCCAGATCTACACTATAAACTTACATCGATATAACTATGTCGCTCAGGGGTGTGAAAAATCCACATCCGTGAGCGACGCAGTTATACTGACCTACCCCCCCGGAATAGACAACGCTATGTTGACAGGAGCGCGTCTCCCATCGGGATAGTAGCATTTTCACTGAAGCGCTACAGTGGCCCAGCTGGGCCGCTGTAGTGTTTTAAGTGTACACCTACTCTCAAATACATAGGAACCCGAAGAAGCACTCCTTGCAATTAAGCTGCATTTCTTTTGGGAAGCAGTGGAATAAGCTTTCCAGTGAGATATATAACACTTCCTTCTAGCCCTGAAAGATCCAGAGATAAGGGTGAAATGATGGCTCAATGGTAATCGATGGGAATTCAGCTGTTTCATCTACACATTAATGTTGGGTATCAAAGACTACAGTAGGTAATTTTTAGAGATGATTCAAATGTGGGGATTTGGAAGTCCTATTCCTGAGAAAATTCTGTGCCAAAAAAATTAGAAATTCTGCAAAATTGGCTGCACAGAGGTGGGAGATACCTTCTCCCTCCCTGGGACACGGATCTCCGGGGCAGGCCCAGCCCTTGCGCTGTGTCAGGATTGAGTGCAGCCTCATGGCCAAGTCCGTGTCCTGGGGCGGAGGGACTGCAGAATGATCTCCCACCTCTGTGAAGCCAGTCACCTGTGCTCCTCACTGCCATACTGGAGCCTTCTCATTTATTTATTGACAAATAAAATTTGCAGAATTTTAAAATATTGTGTGCAGAATTTTTAATTTTTTTGGCACAGAATTCCCTTGGGAGTAGGAGGTGCACATCCCCTGTGTCTTGGAGGGCTGGCTGAGGAAGGGCCAGTGGGGAGATTGCAAATCCACCTGTTTTTGTCCCCATGGGGCAAGGACAGAGCAAGAATGGAGGCTTTGGCAGCTTTAAAGTTACAGTAGCAGTTGTGGAGTACTTTGAGAAGAGTTTTCCTTCCCCTCAGGGCCAAACTTGGGCTACATGGGCATGGTTCAAAGGAAATATTTTAGCTCTTGGTGCATATGAGCACACACATATACTACAGGCGGTTCATATGGCCAGAGAGTTGCACAGAATATTAGAGAATCACAATACCACTCATTTGAGATTTGAAATGGGAAGGATCTACACACCAAAACAGTTACAGCTTGATTTTTTTCATTTATGAGACGTATATTAAGCCTGCCTTGTTCTATTCGTGCATCTTCTTCTATTGCTAGTTAATGAGATGTTTCCTGCAGCAAAGAGGTACTGACTTGTCTAGAAATGAGACGACTCAGGGTAAATTTTTTGTGTTTCTAAGGCCCTTTTGTCCCTTCATGTTTAATGACATGCCATTATATTCCTGGCACAGGACAGAAAATAGCAACACATGGCATGGATGAAAGGTAACTGACTGATTAAATTAGCCATCAGCAGCAGGTAGCTCAGAGAAAGAAGATCATGCTTAAATGTATCACCATGACATTTGATGCTTGTAGCTTATTATCAGTATTATTTATATTATAGTAGCTCCTACAAGCCCCAAAGAAAATAACTGCACAGCAAGAGAAAGTCTCACCCTGAAGGGCTCTGTCGAGGCTCACAAGTCTGCTCCTACATGTGAGCTAATGGATATAGTCCATTTAGCTCAAGCAGCAGCGGCTTCAGGCTTTAGATCTACTCGTTCCCGAGTTCAGTCCTTGCAGATGATCTGACTTATGGGTATTATTACACATGATCTAACCACTCAAGAGGGCTATAAAGTCACACTTGTGTTTGTGTGATTAACACATTCCATCTGCCCTGGGAAGCTCATGTTGAGAATACTGTACACAGTCCACAACCCCTGCATGAGCCACCTCACATAACGACTGCCCTGGCTCTCAGAGATTGAACTCTGAATCTAAAAGCACGCATGTCTACTGCTGGGGCCTAAAGGACCAGCTCCATTAACTCACAGGCAATAGCATAAACCTCTATAAGTGGCCTGGCCAGTAGAGTACAGCAAACACGCATACTGTGTTAATGTGGATTACCATTGCATTTTCTGAAGACCTCTAATGCCATAGTAACAAGTAAGCCTGACACACTGTGTCATCTGAAACCCTCAGTCATTGTGACATCACAGTTCTTATGCCTCTAACATTGTTAATTAGTCTTGTGGATGCCCTAAACGTTAACTCTTTGAACCTTAAAAAGTAGTCATACAAAAAATGCTGCGGCTTTTATCTAACAAGCATCCAAAGTACTGATAGCAAAGGATCACATTAACATCATACCTAAAGCAGCTTTGGTACATTTTAAAAAGGGTTCTGAAGAAAACACGAGCCACTTCAAAAAATGTTTAACATATGGTGTTGTCTGGAATCATTATAGCTAAATTCAAACTACATTCAGCATTTCAAATCCATCCCTTCTTTCAAAACTCATTTCTAATACAACATTTTCAGCCCCGTTAAAATTAGATGTCAGGCACAACCTTAACTATGGGGTTGCTACTCCACCATATTATCTGAGGGAAGTACGTTACATACAATCTACACGCACAGACAGATTTTATATGTATATGTAAATTATGCTTAAGATTTTTGCATTTTCTCTTAATTGACACTTATTGCTAATTAGTATTTATAACTCCTGGTGAATATCTGGCGTTTACTTTTTCTTTTTTATTGTATAACATATGGATCAGTTATTGACAGTTGAAACTATTTCCAATAAACTTGAGACTATCACTCCAACTTCAATGCCTTGTTGGTTTCTTAGCCAAGAATATATTAATTCTTTCATTAACGGTTGTGAAACGCTTTGAAATGTACGGTTGAAGAGCACCATATCAGAGCTCAGTGTTATTATTATTATTCATTCAGGGCCAGATTGTGATCCTCTCTTCCACACTGAGTAGCATATTACTCCAGAAGTTGTTCCTTTGACTCCGATGGGGCTATTAAAAGTGGAAGGTGCTATTCAGCATGAGTAAGGAGATCACAATCCAATCCTTAATTATTAATGATTATTCAGGAAATGAAAGCAAGGATACAGTGCACACAGGGCTGTGCTTACGCCTGGTGAGTAGCACCTTACCACACTAGGAATCCCTTTTGGAGCATGGCACTACTCATTGTGAGGAAAGGTGGCAAAACCCGGCCCATAGAAAGTATAACAACAATGTAACTGCTATCACTTACTCTCCATTGTGATGAAAGTTGTCGTATCGCAGGAAGAGGGAGGCATAAACGGTCTCAGTCAGCAGAGAATAGATTGCGATCATAATGAGAAGCACTGCCAACTTCAGAACAGAGTTGAGACGAAGAAACACTGCACAGGTCACCATTGCCAGGACACCGGTAAAGACAAAATACTGAAAACAGAGAGCATGAGTGGTCAGTTTCAACTTTATGAAGGCCTGAATTTTCAGTGTTCACTAATTGTGATCAGAACTTTAGAAAATTCAGCCCCGTGTCCTATTTGGGCACCAAAAATTGAAGCATCCCTGCGATAATTTAGGCCTAAACATTTATGGGGTATATATAGTTAGTAATCGGTGCAAAATAACTACAGGTAGTTTGTATGGAGATGGCCAGAGGAGGATTCCCTCTGTGCAGGAGAACTCTCTGCTTGCAGAAATCTGGCAGAGATGGCTCTGCCACTTCCTGTGCTAGCTACGGCACCCTGGGAAGGGCATTTCTCCAGCACAGTGGGGAGAGGAGAGGGCATTACACCTAGTTGCCCATTTGCAAATGGTCTCTCAGGGCATAAATTAGGTTTGCCCCTGGCAGTCCTTTCTTACACCAGGTCTGAGTGGTTCAGGATTATGGAGCCCCCACCTTGCAACATGCCCACTCCATGCTGTCCAAGTGAAGAATCAAACCTGAAGAGGTGCTTTGGTGTTGCAAATCCAGCAAAATTTCACCGCCCTCTGACAATGTGATGCCCAGAGCCTCATTCACTTCTCATTTTCTAGTACTTTCAACGTCTCGTTTTTCTTCATGACTACGCTTTTGTCAAACCATCCTTGCACTTGACGTTGTACATAGAGGAAAACATGGACCTGGCCTCGAACTGCTTACATTTGAAATGGCAACGTCAACACTTACAATCTGAACATTTTAGTGCCAATAAACCTCCAAAATATCTCATTAGGAATATTATGCAATGGTGCCGAATTGGTTATTTTCGTGTAATTTCTCTTATGCCACCTCTTTGCCCTCTCTTCTCCAGTAACATGCTGCCACCTAGAAATTAGTCGCATATCAATGGCAACATTATGACACTGCCATGTGACTCTTTTAGAGCAACATACTTGTTTTATCTACAACCAACCAGTTCAGTTCTGCTGATGTGTTTGCTCCCAATGGAAGGAAGAGTCCATATGCTTCAAAGGCACAGATTGGAAAGAAAGCTGCAGCAGTTGAGTCACTGAAGTTCTTTTTTGGTGTGTATGATTTATTAGCACACTCCATTGACCTTCTCTGACTTACATTTATTTTTGTAAAAAGAAGAACAGGAGGACTTGTGGCACCTTAGAGACTAACAAATTTATTAGAGCATAAGCTTTCGTGGACTACAGCCCACTTCTTCGGATGCATATAGAATGGA